GTCTGGCAGGTGGAATACAATGTAAATAAATGTGAAGTCATACATTTTGGTAGGAGTAATAGTAAAAAGGATTATTACTTGAATGGTAAAAAGTTGCAGCATGCTGCTGTGCAGAGGGACCTGGGTGTCCTTGTGCATGAATCACAGAAGGTAGGTCTGTACTGATTGTACAACAAGTAATTAGGAAGGCAAATGGAATTTTGTCCTTCATTGCTAAAGGGATTGAAATTAAAAGCAGAGAGGTTATGTTGCAGCTGTACAAGGCGCTGGTGAGGCCACACCTGGAGTACTGTGTGCAGTTTTGGTCTCCTTACTTGAGAAAGGATGTACTGGCACTGGAGGGGGTGCAAAGGAGGTTCACTAGGTTGATTCCGGAGTTGAGGGGGTTGGGATTATATTCATTGGCATTCAGAAGATTGAGGGGGGATCTTATAGAAACATATAAAATTATGAAGGGAATAGATAAGATAGAAGTAGAGAGGATGTTTCCACTGGCAGGTGAAGCTAGGACAAGAGGGCATAGCCTCAAGATTAGAGGGAGCAGATTTAGGACTGAATTGAGAAGGAATTTCTTCACCCAGAGGGTTGTTAATCTATGGAATTCCTTGCCCAGTGAAGTAGTTGACGCTACTTCAGTAAACATTTTTTAAAAAAAAAAGTAGATTTTTATTTGAACAATAAAGGAATTAAGGGATATGGTGAGAACGCGGGTAAGTGGATCTGAGTCCACGAAAGGATCAGCCATGATCTTATTGAATGGCGGAGCAGGCTCGAAGGGCCAGACGGCCTACTCCTGCTCCTAGTTCTTATGTTCTTATATGATAGATTAACATATATACATCTTAAACAATTTCTACAATTTAGTTGCTTGACAGCACCCCTTCCCAAACCCCCTAGTCTCCTCTTTGGCACTTGCTTTCTCTCCCCTGCCACCTTCTATTCCTCCCTCCCAGCCCCCGAATACACTTACAAACCTTCCCAACCCACATCACCCTCACTTACTATTTGTTACTGATTGTAGACGTTCAAATTAATTGGTATTCATAAAGATCTATTTGTTACATTGAAGTCTTTCCAGTGGTGGTCTTGCAAGTGAAGACTGTTACATGTGTTCTACGTGCAAACATTCTGTGCAAGTATGTCGTTAGAAATAAAACTGTCTACTTACTTGGGATGGATGGCGGCTCATTAGTTAGCACCGCTGCCTCACAGCAACAGAAACCTGTGTTCAAATCCAGTCTTGGGTGACTGGAGTTTGCACATTCTCCCCATGTCTGTGTGGGTTTCCTCCCACAGTCTAAGGACGTGCAGGTTAGATAGATTGATGTGCTAAATTGCCCCGTAGTGTCCAGGGATCTGCAGGTTACAGGGTTTTGGAGGGTAGGCCGAATAACCTCTTACCACAATGTCGGGATTTGATTCTATTATTTCACTTAACTGCATTGGCCAGAATCACTAAATTAAAATAGTCATTTGATATTTGATTTTTGAGATTTAGGTCTTAAATTTTTAGGTTTCAGTTTCATTGCATGAATTTTAAATGATTAGCTGTTGGGATACTTTGCATTCCTTGTAATGAGTATCTATTTTGAGCTCTGTTTGAAATTTATTTTTACATCACAGGTTATACCTTCATAATCGAGCAGTCTCAGGACTGGATCTTAGCCAGACCACAGATGTCACCTGACAGGGTCAGCACAGGAATTTTCATTATGTAGCATAAAACTAAATGAAAATTTTAGGGAATACAAATGATCTCTTAACCTGTCAACACAATTCCAGAAAACCAAAAGCACTCTGTGTTCTTTTGGCAGCCAGAAGTGCTGCAGAGTTTGCACCAGTAGAACATGCAGGACCATAGAAGTCGGTAGACCAGAGGGTGTCAGAATAGGGATGTACTAACGATAGTTTAAAAGCTTTTGGACGTTGTGGAATCCTTTCAAGGTAGTGGGAGTGGATTTTGCTTGTTTCATTATTTAAATGTTGCATTGAGCCACTAGTGGGTTATTGCTGTGCATGTGTGTATTCTGCCCCTTGACCTCAAAACAAAATACTTGTGTTCCTAGTTTTGCATTTATAAAAGTTTATTTAAATAATGAATGAATGATTGCTTGTCCCAGCAGAGCAAATAGTGCTGATATTTACAAGGCAAATCTCAATGGTTTGTTTTCAGAAGTTTTCATGTTTATCCTTGACTGGCTGTCTTGCCTGATGCTATGGGCAAATCAGTGTTGTATTGACAAATTCACCTCTTAATTGTTAATGTTCAGTCAGTGGCATTCTGTTGCATGACATTTTCAATTTTAAGCGCTTAAAACTTAATAACATGACTGAATATTTTCGTTCAGCCTGCGCAGGAAATTTATGTATACCAGCTTGCTGGTGCCTTTGCTTTCAGTATTGCAATTTGCCATTGCTGAGGCTGATATATTTACCATAGTGGATTGTTCTTGTGCAACTGTTCAGATAAAGATCAAGAGCACTCAGAATGCTGTTTCTGGACATTAGTGGTGCACAATTTTATTGCTATTGTCCATTTGGTGTAATAATGTTGCTCATGTAGTCTGATGTAAAGCTGGTATTTAACCAGATTTTCACCACCTAGCAGGATTACTGACTTGTTACGCAAAGTCACAATAGAATGTTGAACTTCTGATAACACTATACCCGTTCACCTAGGTTGCATCAAACTTGTCATCAGGTACATTTTGTGTTGTGTTGGCCTATTCGTGATAAACTGACACCATGTAACTATTCGATTTGGGTTAAGGCATTCAAGTTTGAGAATGCATTAGTTGATAATTTAAGCAGAAACAATGCAAGGCTATGGGGAAAAGGCCGAGGAATGGCATTAAGTCACGATTGTTTGTAGAGCTGGTGCAGACGCATTGGGCTGAATGGCGTCCTCGTGTACCTGTGATTATTTTTCGTTAAAAGAAATTTAAAATTTCTTAGTATTTTTCAATAAACAGCTTATCTGCGGAGGTGGAAAGGAAAGATGATAGGTTTATATACTTCCTTTTGGCTGGTAACAGACACAAGCAAGTTTTTGGTTGATCTGTAACTCAGCGTGAGTAAACATAGAAGTCTTTATGGAAAACTTGAAGAAATGGGCACAAATGGCAGTTTTAAACTTGTGAATGCTGCCCCCCACCGTGCTAGGTAACAGAATTTACTTGATTGCAAAATCTAAACTGCGAGGGCGTTGGGGCGGAATATTGCTTCTGCCTTGTGACTAACTTACTATAGCTTGCTTTTTGCTTTACGTGTCTGCTGTTAATGTGTTTCTCTACAAAGACATCCTGCTGTAATATCGTGTCGACTGATCTTAATGATGGTATTTTTAAGTCTTGCTGTACAGAATTGCTATGTGATATGCTCTGTACAAGGGAATTTGAATCTTGTTTCTGTCCTAAATTCATCCTTTTTTACTTTCGATCAAATTTCAGCAAAATAACCTTGATACCATTCTGTAATATGGAATTTCTTTTGCATACATAGATCTTGGGATCTGTGTACCAAGTGACTTGATCTTTACAGTTGGCATTAAAAGAATGAGACTCTCATGTAGCAATCTTCATGACTGCAATGTTTCAAGTACTTTTACAACCAGTTAAGTACTGATTTTAAAGTCACGTGTAATGTTGGAAACCCAGAAGTCATTTAGTGCACAGCGAGCTATGTCATTGAGGAAAAGGTATGATAAAAGTTGTATGATGTGTAATATTTTGGATTTTGACTTTCAAAATAGAGGCAGGTATTTGTTGGTCAGTTCTGTAAAGATCCATTTTTAACCAGGTCAGAATACAATTTGGGATACTGATCAAGTGGTTCAATTTCAAAGGAGCAAGTGACTGTGCAGTATGAACGGATAAAATGTTTCTGCTGTTCAGTTTATGACAGAAAACACACCAAGGCCACCAATTTAGTTTTGAGTTCATAACAAGTTTCAAGGGTCATAATTCAGAAGAATCATAAGCTGAGTTCAGAAGCAAGATTTAGTTTTCTGTTGTGATTTTTTTTCATTTTTGTTGTGTTTAGCAAATGTGGAATTTGAGGTAGTGTATTTTAATAGGAAGTTGAAATTAAACCAAGTCTTAAGACTAAAATTTGTGTAGTTTTCTGGAGAATGAAGCAAATTTTATGATTTAGGGTCAGACTTTGAAGTTATGTTTGGGGATGGTGTTAACTTTATCTTCAACTTCAAGCTGCAGAATAAAGTATCGAACAAAACTTGTCTTTCGTGTTGTGATGATTGCTGCAGACCTTTGCAGTCAGTGACCTGCTTTTAATATATTATCAGTGATGTAATGCAAGTGGAGGCGAGGGTTTTGCAAAAAAAAAGCAACAAAATATGACAAGTTAGTTTCATCTTTTATAATGCTTGTTGAGAGAAAAATATTGGTTCGGAGACTAGGAAAGCTGATATAAAAAAGAGCTACCTGAGTAGCTTGGTTTGAATTGTCACCATTCAAATCTGAGAGCAGTGCTGTAGAGTACTGCAGTGAAGTGACAGTATGCCTCATACGCTGAGATCCTGCGTTCGTGACCATCTAACTTGTGCTACTTCTGAGACAAACTGACATCGATGGTTAATGTAAGATGGATCCATTGAAGACATCAAGCGATAGCTTCAGCAAAACTTCCTTTACTCACTTTCTTATAAACATGGATTGGCTTTTCTGTTCTCTTAGTCTTTTAGGATTTTGGCTTGCATAGCAACTACAGCAAAAACAGACAATGTCTCTAAGAGAAAGATTTGTGAATGAGGAGGCAAATTAGGAATGGCATCTGAGAACTTGGGTTTCTTGTTCTAATAAGAAACTCCAATGCTAACCTTTTTGCCTTTTTAAAAAAAAAAAGGTCTAACAAGTTTCAATATAAACTTAAAATTATGCTCTGTTTTGAAAATGCCTGCCATGCCTCCCAAACATTTCTCTTTCACCTACCCCAACTCTTGCATGTTCTTGTTGATACATAATATTTGTTTGTATCTCCAGTATTCCCTTCACTATCCAGCGTTTATGCGAGCTGCTTACGGATCCTAAGAAGAATTACACTGGGACAGACAAATTTCTCAGGGGAGTTGAAAAGGTAACCAAGAATATAGAAACTAGTCTTCATCTTATTACTAATGACCTCATTTGCGCTGTGCCCTTTTAAACCTGGGTTTTACCTGTGTTTCATGGGTTTTGGAGTTTGTTTTTCTTTTAATTTGATGGCCTTTCTTGCTGTTGAGCTAATTAGCTTCACGCTCAAATTGTCTTTTAATTATTTTAATCAACCTGTTTGGATGTGTAATGACACAGTAGTCCATTTAGTGACTCAAGACTGCTCTGCCTTTAATATCACCTTTTAAAAGAAAAAAATCTATCTGGCTTAAAAATTTCAGTTCACTCAATATCCAAAGTCTTTTGGGGAAATAAGTTCCAGACTTTCAGTATCCTTTGCCGGAACAAATGTTTACTGATCTTGAATGATCTAGTTCTGATTTTAAGGTTATAGGCCCTTTTTTGTTTTGTGCTCTTACATCAAAGAAAATTATTTCTCTATATAAAGCTATAGAAATTTCATAATCATTTTAAACACCTTGATTAGATGTCCCCAAAGTCAAGAATGCAAGCCAAGTTTATACAACCTGTTGTTCGAATTTAACCCTTAAACCCTGATGTAATTCTTGTTATTTTGTGACATAACCAGTCCTAGGTTAACATATTTCCACAGAAATAATGTCTGCAATTTTTTTCATGCTCTTTTGTTCTTGCTCATTTTCTCACTAGTCATGAGCAGTATTGACAAATAGCACACGAAGCTTGGTTTGGTCTGTTTTCTTCCATCTGGGGAGAAATTTTTCAGGCGCTCTTGATCTCAACTAGAATATCTGGGGAAGTTGGGAATTCTCTACCACTAAGACTTTGCAGATGAAATGTTTTGTAATTGATAAATTATGTGGAGTCAGTCAGATTTTAGATGTAGAAAATTCTTGCCTTTAGTCTCATGCACTTTTTTGTACATTTACAGAATGTTATGGTTGTTAGCTGTGTGTATCCCTCTACAGAGTAAGTAAACTTAAATATTTAATGGTTCATGCTTTTTACTCAATTTGTTTAATACTTCAATGGTTTAAAATTTGTCATAATTTCTTCAGGAAATGCAACTTCGGCTCAAATAGTTTGAATCGAGTGAATGGTATCATGCTGTCTGGAAGCCATACTGGGTATACAGACAGGTGAGCCACAGTGCAAGTTTTCTTTGTGATGCTGTTGAGTGTTTCCAAGGGAGTGGTGAAACAGTGCTGATCCTTAAAGGGAGAAAGCAGCTAGTTGCCATGATAAGTTTGCTTTAAAACCATGCTTACGGAGCTGCCCAGGTGTGAAATACTGACTTTCTGTCAAATGTAGCAGATAGTATTGATGGGAAGAGCCCATAGTTTCAATTGAAGCTTTTATCTACCACCCAATAAATTAACCTTGCACATAAGTTACTTCTATGACTTGACTATTCTCACTATGACTCTTTTGGAAATAGCTGTAACATTTTACATTTGGCTGTACACTTAACCCTTAAATTTCAGCTTTTACTCTGTTTAACATCTGTTGAGGGGTTTGGTGAAAATTACCTTCTTGGTTCCGCAGTTACAATTACATTTCTGAGGACACCAGATACTAAGTCATTATTGAACAGGGAATTATTAGCAGACTTGAATTCGTGCCTGTGGGCATTTGCTGTATTGGTCCTTTTAAGCTCCTCAGCAACAGCAAAGTAGAAATTGAAAGAAGGGAGGAAAGGAAATCTGAACATAGTAAGCAGCAATGAGCGAGAAACATCATGCAAAATTCATTTAACTAGTGAAATGCAAGTGCAAAACAAATATGGGAGTGGTTTTAGCTGTGAAATACCATTTGTATCTGAAAAATATGACGACTGTCTGGTGCCACACCTCCCAACTTTGTGCTCAGTATTATGTCATGCCAAACGTTAGGTCTTGAAGTTGTTCCTTTGGTTCAGCTTAGATGTAAGTTGGCATTTCTTTAAGCCTAAAACGGCTTTAATTTTCTTTGAGCTCCTAGATTTATTTTCATTCACAAAATGAGTTATTTAATATGTTGATGCTGCTTGAAGTTCTGGGGCAAAATAATCAAAATATAGGGCCCTCTGGTGGTAACATGGTTTGTTGATCTGAATTCATTTCATAGCTCAACCTGTTTGAATTGAGCATGAATTTTAACTGAAATTTAAAAAAAAACCTTTTTAGCTTGATACTGAATTTGGAAGATCATTTATTTTTGTAAACCAAATACATTTGATGAAATGATTTTGAACATTTCAGTATTTGCAGTAAAATATCTAACTAATTTCTGGTTGCAGTGTCTAATTGGATCATGAGTCACTTGCGTGTATACCTGATGTAGTTCAGAATCTTAAGTTTGGAGTGCTTGGTTTGCTTTCAGATCTAATATCAATGGTCCTGGTACTCCAAGGCCCCTCAGTCGATCAAAAGTTTCGTTATCAAGCCCTTTAACGACAAACGGTTTGCCAGACAGCTCTGATAGAGAAATTAATGTGCAGCAACCGGAAGACAAATCGCACAGGTATTTTTTCCATATCTTTGAACAAAGTTGTTGACCTTCACATAAATATTGGAAAGTTAAAACATATTCTGTGTTGAGCTGTTTGGACATATCATGCTGTTGAAGTTCTTCATGGTATTGAACAAAATAAATTATTAATTTCTGCAAACAATGGTTTAGATTTTCTAGTTCAATCGAAAATGCAATTTGTCATGAAGCCAGAATACGAGAGTAGAACCAGTTAATTCTAGCTTGTATTCAGTATAATACTTTTTTGTTTTTGCTGGAGTCTGGATCAAATCTCTCATTCTCAAAAATGTCATCAATTTAATCTGCACTTTTCTTCTAATAGTGTTCATTCTATAAAACCTTGATGGAGTATTTGAACCAATCCAATTGTACTTCAGAATTATGTGCTTTATTTTAAAATTACTCACTTTTTAACCTTCAAGCTTTTACTTGATAATTTACCATTTTGGTTGAAAGTTGATGTTGTGTTCTTCATTATACTTGATCAGCCCTCTATATTTAATGAAATAATAGTTCGTCACAGAAAGCAAGTTTGTGTCAACTTGAATTTTTTGTCCGTTACAAGAAGCAATTTATGTCACATCTCACACTTTTTCGATATCGCTGAGCTATAGTAAATATATTTCTTTAACCTGCTGCATACATGGATTCTGTTTGAAGCAGACAATGTAATGCACTTAAAGGTGTTACTTTCAACTTTATGCAGGGTGCTATTCGACGTAAAGTATATCACTATTTCAAAAGTAAATGTGAAAGCCCATTTTTTGAGTTTGTGGTATATATGGGTCTGCTCAAAATATGTATGTGTACGCTCTTTACAGCTTATTTATGTTACACTTATGGATTATGATACATCTTTAAGAAGCAAAGGCATTGATTTACATAGTGCCTTCATTTCTAAAGCATTTTTAGAAGGCTGGTCACTTGCCATGCAGAAAATGAAGCAGCCAGTTTTCACACAAGCTCCCCCCCCCCCCCCCCCCACAAACAGCAACAAAAAAATGACTTGATAGTTAACTTTTCATGATTGAGGAATAATTATTGGCCAGGCCACCAAGAGTACTCTTCAAAATGTCGTAGCATGTTTTTTTTTCCATTGCCACTTGAGAAGGCAGACAGGGCCACGATTTAAGACATCATACTGATCACGAAGCCCTCCCATAATATTGCACTGAAGTGTCTCCCTTGATTTTTGTGCTGAACTCTTCCATGTGGCCTTTGGACTCGGGTGAATGTGCTCCCGATTGATCCACAGTTGATCCTGAAACAGCATCTAAGTTAACATAGCTAACACAGTGTGGAGCTGGAGGAGTACAGCAGGCCAGGCAGCATCAGCGGAGCAGGAAAGTTGACGTTTTGGTCTAAATTAACAACCTGCCAACAAGTAGTCATTTCTTAGCTTCTTGTGAGATGGAGCCAGGAATTTAGACCGATAACTGCCTGAGCAGGAAGAAACAACCTAGTATTCATCAAGAAATGAACTCGGTAGCTTTACTAAATACTTTAGCTGGAGAATAGTACATCGTATGTTACATTGCCTATTCTAAAACTCAGCCTTTGCCTTACAACCTGTAAATATAAAACCTTACAACTGTGGCAAAAAGGTTTGCCACAGTGGAGGAACAATGCATCTTGTTTGTGTACAGGCCCAAAGATAACAAGGAATCTGTTATGAAGATAATGGTCAATATGATTAAAGTTGGTTATGTGCCTAAGCCTCTTGACATCTTCAAGTAGTCTTTGAGTCTTGTCAAAATTTTTACAATGGCTGCACATTTTTTGTTTTTAAACAGTGATTCACCAACTTCCCATGGAGACAACGCGCAGAGTAACTGTTCAAAAAATAAACATTTAGAGGACACGATGGAAGCTGAGGCACCAGAGGTAAAACGGCTGAAATTTGATACGGAAAACGAGGAAGAGGAGCCTGTACATTCTGAAAGTTCTTCAGAAATGCCTGAGGAAACTGAGAACACAGCAAAGCAGGAAGAAACCAAAGATGATAGTGAATGGATTGATCCAGTCAATGCAGATAAACAAGGTACTGTGTACCTTCCTGAATATAGAGTAGTATTATAACCAGCTAGAATCATTTTCTAATTTCTTGTATCATTTGACTGATGGGAAAGTGATAGTGAAGATTAGTAGGTAGATTAATAATTCCACTAATGTACAACAAAATCAGGTGAGAAGTGAAAACTGGAAATACAACCTGGAAGTAAAGAATAATACAGAATATTAAAAATAATTTTGTATCAAAGGGCTTTACAGTAGTTGAAGTTGTACTGACTTTCATAAGTGGCCAATAAAAAGTGTTGCATTGTATTTAAGAATCTTTTATGTCGGACCTATGTGTTCTTCCATTTTTGTCTCCCATGAAAATGTTACAGGTTCACAAATCTCTGTATTTGCTTGCAAACAGTATGAACGTACAGACAAATAAAAAGCTGGTCATTTAGCCTGTCCAACACAATGGCTGAACAATTCTTCCCACCCTGTCAATTAGATAATTTCCTGGGAGAAGTGAAAAGATTTAAGTAATTTCTTTTTTAATATGGGCATCAATCAGAAGTAGTCATGCTTTGGTCTTAGAACAGTGCTTGTAGTATAATTGTCTTAAACATAAATTTAGCAAAGCTATTCCTCTGAATACTTAGGAATCCAAGCAGCTGGATTAAATCTATATCATTGCTTTGCATTCTTGCTAGTGAGTGCACAGTGTGCACCCTTACTACAATTGACTTTATGCCTGCATTTCAGTTTGCTGTTGGAGATCATGAATGTTCTTGTGAAATAAATCTTATTCAAATGTTTAAGCAATGTTATCTGCTTTTGATTCGGTGCATAAATCAAGTTTCAAAACCTTATTTATTTTAGTCTTATCTAACACTGAAGGTTTCCATTGTGATTTAAGTATCCAGTCAAGTTTGCTCCTTGTGATGTGTGCAGCAAGTGACAGAACTTAATTGAATTTCAAGTTCTGTAAACACAGAAATAAGCTACTTGACCCATTATGTCTGCTGGCTCTTTGAAAGAGTTCTCCATTAACCAATAACCCTGCTCTTACCCCATAGTCATGCTTTTTTCAAGTATGCACCCAATTTCCTTTTAAAAGTTGCATTTCAATTGGTATCTTCTCCACCTTTCCAAGCATTATTTTCTTTCTCTTACTGCATATTAAGATTTGAGAGGTAATTTCTGTAATGTTTGGATTTGCGAACCAGAAGATGTACTAAATTCAATTAATATATTACTGAAAACTTTTGAGTGACTTTTAATATTTAATCCATTGAGATACAAAAAAGTGATTAGATTCCGGGTTGTGTCTATGTAAACTCTAATTTCATAGTGTAGTGATGAAACAAATAGTGAAGTTCTTGCATTAGTATGTTGGCTCTAGCATAAATCTTACAAATTTTTTTCATGTTCCTCCTCCCCATGCACACAAGTTTCAAACATCACAAGTAAAAATGGTAATCTGTTGGAAGTAAATTTATTTTTAACAATAATACATGAAATTGCTTGCCCATCAATTTGTTTTTCTGTTCCCCTATTTGTAATGGGTTCAATTTATTTATCTCTGAAAGTTGGCAGCTGTGCAGTACTGGAAACACAAAAGTGAGATCTGATGGCTTTTTGTGTATTTATAGAGCCCTCAAGCAAACAAGTAAAAGCCATGTTTGAATCTGAGCAAGAGAAAGTTGAAGTTTCATCTGGAAATGTCAAAGCCTCAGATGAAAATCAAATGGACCAAACTGAGCCAACCAAGACATTAACTTCAAAGGCAAGTGAAATCAGTGAAAGCACTGACGATGTTAGTAACAGTGTGGACTACAGTGATACAGAAAAACCAGCCACACCTCCCGAAACTCCAGACATGCTTTCTGAGAGCCCAATGGAGAATAGTGCAGATGCTACAGAAGAACCAATGGAACAGGACTAAATATTGAGATACTCTGCAGCATTTTCCATGAGGTGTTGATTTTACACTGTATAAAGTTTTATGTAATAAAGTGGACCTTTGTTTCCAGGAGAAGGAGAGGCTAACCTTCTCCAAGAAAAACCTGGAAGAGCTGTACAAGGTGAGAACTGTGAAACCAGCTCCTTCAGGTCTCATCTACTGCTCCCGCTTTTTTGTTTGGTCAAATCAGTGGTTTTGTGTATAGATTTTTTAAATTAGTTTTTAAACTGGAAGGTAAAACTATAATTGTCGAGTTGTTTTCCAATTCATTGAACTAGGCCATTTACCACAGCATTTTTTGTCTCATTTTTAAACCTCTTTGGAAAAATTACATTTCCTATATGGTCACTGTTTCAACATTTAATACATCAAACAACAGGTTGAAGACACATTCCAGGAAAAAAAAAACCCAAAAACAATGCATCACATTCATTTACTTCTGGTCCGGTATTGATGGGATTCATTAATCTAAAGGGAGTGTGTGGTTCACGTTAATGTGAAACAGCAAAGGTTAGGACTTGTTTCAAGATCAGTTTGTTTTGGTTGCAGAATAAATGCTTTTTTTTGATTCATTGTTCAAGCAGAGAAAGGTGTGGGGGAGGTAAATCACTCAATTTAAGCTCAGTGGTTAGAATATGTAAATTTGAATAAGTTCCTTTCAGTTACATTTTTTGTAACATGCAGACAGCACTGTTACACACACCACTGACTACATCGAAGATCTACTGCAATTACCTTGTTAATTTAGTCTTGTGCCAGATCTTATGTACTGGTCATGCAATTTTAGGGGGTGCATTGAACCACCATGATTTGTACAAAATTTTGAAGTGAATGAAATATTTTTGAACATGCTACTACATTTTGACAGCCAGTGGTTGTACATTTTTGGAGATGATAACTCAGCACAAATCTTCATCTGTACTTCTGATGTTTTCTGATATTCATCTTGTAAATTCAAAATCCTTTAATCATTTGATCACAATTATTGGCTGTCAAAATTTGTTTGTACTTGTTTCTGACAACTGTACTTTTTGATATTTAGAATTTTTAAATTTCTGTAAGTAGATTTTGTAGATTAATTGTAGATGTAATTGTTCACTGCCTTTGTGAAACGTTCTATAATTGTATAATTTGTGTGTAAACTGAATGCTTTTGGCTTTCAATACAGTATTCATATAAAGCAATAAATGTTATATCTGGACACAGTCTGGAGACACACTCCAGTTCCCGTTGATAAAATTTGCACAGGGTTGCCAGAGGCCATGATGACTGCACGTAACTGACAATCTACAAGATTGACAGTTTTGTCTTTCCTGTGAATGTAGTATTTTGCACTTGTTAAAGTGAATATTCTGGAGATATAATTTTGTGGGATCTTAAATTCACTGAGAGAATTAAGAGTCTTCATCCTAACCAGTATGTAAAGTTTTTTACAGGATGCCTAAGCGCTGTAACATTGTTTCTCTTCAGCCCTGTGGTTGGGAAGAGCATCTTACGTTGCTAATTAAACAATAATTTTCACAAGTTTTTAAACCAATCTGATCAGCAAAAAGTTTTTGAATTTTCATCTTGTTGTCAATGCCACTGGCAGAATTTTTAACAGTACTGTATAGGGGACTTGAATTTTCTCCCTTTTCTAAAGAATTCTTGAATTCTGCTTGTAAAAGTCAAGTTCTTTGCACTGCTGTATGAGAGCGTGGGAAAGAAAAGCAAACTTTTTATTGAAATCTTTATACCATAAGCATGATTTCCAGTGCAGCTTTCTTCTGTGTAACGTGGCGAATTCCTTATGCCACAGGATTATTTTTAGTAATCTGTTTGCTTGTGAACCAGTTGAGTTGAAAATCTGGGTTGAGGAATTGTGTTCTGAGATTCTAAATGTGACGTGACAAAACAAAACACTATGGAAGATGGTTGAAGAGAGGTGGATCATGGTTGAAATGAGCTTTCCCCTTTCTCCTCCCCACCTGAAAGTTTGCCTTTTAATGAAAAAAAAAGCTAAATTTCCAGAAAGAGTAATGTCTGACTTTACTTAGAAGGATTCTAAATAAGAACTTTCTTTTCATCTTTTAGGAAAGCTTTAATTAGTAACAAATTAGTCACTCTGGACGGGCAATAAAAAAAATGCTGGCCGGCCAGCCAGTGACATCAGAGTCCTGAGAGAATGAAAAAATTGTACTAATTTAAATCTTACAATTTTACAACAGTGTTAGCTCAGTTTTATAATCAGTGCTGACACTCAGCTGTCTATTTAGTTGCAATTTTCTATGTCTTTCCAATCTACTTTTACAGCTTCCCTTCCCAAAATTTGACTATATTATGTACGAGTTTTTCGTTTGCTTCCACTAGTGTTTCTATACTGGCTTAATGAACCTGAGTTGTCTTTGTGTTACTGCTCGTTCATTCTGAACCTTAATCACAGCAAGTTACCCTCTACTATTGTTGGACTGGCTGGTTTATCGTTTCACTACTTTTTCTCTTTGTAAGAATAAATTTCCATAACTAGTCCACAGTCAAGTTTGTTAATTTAAGTTTTTTTTTGTTTTTCAGTTTTTGCTTACTCAGGTAAATGTTGGGAAAGTTTTTCAGATTTTCACAGGCTGATTACCAAATTAGGCTCATTGTATGATCTTATCAGGTGAAATTTATTTTGTTTTCAAGATGCTATATTGAAGTATTAGTGAATGTGAAAACGTGACGTTTAGGCGGTGTTACTTCAATATTCTTGTATTGACATTAGGTTTGCATCATGACAGCAGTGGCAGATAATGAGTAATTGACAGCATGTGTCTCTCAGGGGCTAACCTATTTTAGAAGGTTAGGAGGGAAATGTATTTTTTCAGCATTGGGTGGGGCAGTTGAACCTTCTCACTGGTTAGCAGCAAATTGTCAGTCTTTGCTCGCTCGGGTTAAAAAAGAAAATACTGTAGATGCTGGAATCTGAAATACAGCAGTGCTTTGGAAAAACTATAAGATGGAGGAGCAGAAGCAGGTCATTCAGTCCATTGAGTCTGCTCTGCCCTTCAATGAGACCATAGCTGATCTGATCATTCTCAAACCTCTTGCCTGCCTTGTCCCTGTAATCCTTTTGATTCTCTAACTGATGTGTACTTAATAACCCAGCTCTGCCACCCTCTGGTAAAGAATTCTACAAGTTCACTTCACTACGTTTTGAGAGAGAGGCAATTCCTCCTCATTGCCTTATTCTGAAATTATGCCCTCTGCTCCTAAACTCCCTTGCAAGGGGAAATGACCTTTCTGCATCTAACCTGTCAAGTCCCCCGAGAATCTTGATTATTTTAGTAAGGTCTCTAGTAAGTTTTCTGAACTCCAAGTACTGGCCCAATCTGCACAACATCGACTCACAAGACTGTGTTTCTCCATACCAGGGATCAGTCTTGTGAACCTTCTCTGGACTGCTTTCAATGCTGATGTCTCTTTCCTGGGCCAGAAGACCAAAACTGTTCATAGCATCCCAACTGTGGTCTGATAATGTCTTGTACAGTTTAGCAAGACTCGACTATTTTATTCTTCATTCCCTTTTGAAATAAAAGTCAAAATTCTATTTGACTTCACTATTATCTGCTGAACTTGTGGAAGCTTTTGAAAATCATGCACGAGGACCCCCAAACTCCTGTATGCTGTAACTTCCTGCAGTCTTTCTCCATTTAATTAATATTCAGCTCCTCTGTTCTTCCTCCTAAAGTACATAACCTCACATTTTCCCATATTCTATTCTATCTTCTTGGCCACTCACTGAACTTGTCTGTACCCCTTTACAGATTTTTTTTGTCATCCTCGGCACTTGTCTGCCTCCTATTTTGTCATCTGCAGACTTGGGAGATAATACATTTGCTTCTCTTATTCAAGTCATGAATGTATATTGTAAATAATTGTAGCCCGAGCACTGATTCCTTTTGTGACAATCCACTAGTTGCATGTTGCCATCCTGAAAGTTTGCTACTTATACCTACTCCATCTTCTATTAGTTAGGTAGTCCTTTCTCTGCTAATATGCTACTTCTAACACCATGGGCTCGCATTAAGTAAACTAATCAGGTGCCTTCTAAAATGCAAGTATATTTCCTTCACTGCTTCCCATTTATCTTGCTTGCTTCCTCTGAATTCTAATGAATTTGTGAGGCATGATTTCCCCCTTTGAAGCTATGCTGACTCTGCATGATCATATCATGTATTTCTAAATGCTCTGTTATTACATCCTTTGATATATCACTATCCTGACTTGGAGATATATCGCCGTTCCTTTGCTGTCGCTAGGTAAAAATCTTTGAATTCCTTTCATAACATTTGTAGGTCTACTTAGAGCAAATGGACTGCAGCAGTTCAAGAAGGCAAATCACTACCACTTTCTCAAGGACATCCAGCAATGTCCACATCCCACAAGAAAATATAAAAAGCAAGATACATTTTTCCAATAATAGCCATTATGCTAACTGGCTGCTAGTTAGCTCTATTTTTGCTGTCTTCCTTTCTCAAAGGTAAAATAAGGAAATAAAACTTAGACCTGGCAGTACCTATGGAAAGAGAAGCAGAGTTAACGTTTCAAATCCAGTACTGGCTCTTTTAACATTTTCTGTTTCTCTTGGGCAGCGTGGTGGCTCAGTGATTGATTAGTACTGCCATATCACAGCTCCAGACACCTGGGTTTGATTTCACACTCAAGTGACTGTCTATGTGGAGTTTGCATGTTCTCTTTGTGTCTGTGTAGGTTTCTGCTGGGTGCTCGTTTTTTCCTACAGTCCAAAGATGTGCAAGTCAGGTGGATTGGCCATTCTAACTTGTCCATAGGTCCAGGGGATGTGTAGGTTATGTGCGGAAGGGATAGGGTAGGGGGGGGGGGTCTGGGTCTGGGTGGTATTCTCTTCAGAGAGTCGGTGTGCACTTGTTGGGCTGAATGGCCTGTCCTCCCACTCTAGAGATTCAGTGAATTTGCTGTCATATAGCTGAGCTCAGCAAACAGGAAAATGTGAGGACGCCATTAAAGCAGATCATTAAACAGTTGAGAGCGGTCAGCAATGTTTCACTCATGCCTGGAGTGCGATCTTCCAAATTGGATGTTTCCCATAACAAAGGGTGTTTCATACTCAATTCACTTAGCTTGTAAGCTTCCACAAGAATCCTATTTAGACGGAGATTTTCAATTTGAGTTCCTTCTGTGTTCAATATTCCTTCTGTAGCTTCAGTTTTTTTTTCCAAATGGTATTGGAATCCAAATCTTCATTTCAAGATTCCTCCTCTAACTTCATTATGCAGTTGTGTAGAATGCTTTCCCCTCAGGTTGCCTAAAATATTCCCTCCATCTGTCGGGGTTTTCTGTTGATCGAGAACATGTGGGAAGTTGAATCGAGTGCTAATGTAAGATGGTACAATTGATCGTTAACTAAGATTATTTATTCTCCCAAGAGATTTTTTAATAACTTTTCTCAACTTTATTAAACAAGGGCAAAAATACTTTTCATCTTATTTTTGGCATTGAGGTTATTCCTAGATTGTATCTTCTGTAGGTCTCAGCTCAAACAGATGTTCTTCAATTGTTGCTTTATACTTTTATTTTCATTAGAGAACTGTTTTAATTTTTCAAGGGCTTAAAAAACTACATCGTTATACTAGAGTTAGTAAATATATTCAATCAGATGATCAGATGCTTATAGCACTGATCCTGTAAGCCGTATTCACATTTGTTTTGCTGGATCTTTGTCTTTTTCAAAGTATTCATATCTTGAATTCAGCTGAACACTTCACAAAGTGCAGTTTACCTCCAGGCTAGGGTAACAAAAAAACAAAAAAAGACAGACCGTTTCCTAACATCATTGTCATTATTAAACAGTAGGTGACCAGATAGGCTACTGCAGAATCCCAACTTTAGAGAGACTGGAAAATAGCATTGTGTTCCAGCAGTGGAAGTACAGAAAATGGTGCCAGTATTTACCACCACCTAAGCAGAGCTGTAATTCAAGATCCGCACTTGAATTTTTAAACTGGTTTTCTCCGCAGGGGCTGCCTGACTTGAATGTTATACCATTCTCTTATTTTCATTTGATTTCCAGTACTGTAGTATTTTAAATGTTCATGAATCAGTTTGTGGGGTGGTGTATGTGATGAAAGTGGGTGTGATAGGGACTGGGTTTTAGTGTCAATGAGCTAATACTAGGATGGCAGACATGCCAAATTCACCTAAATTTCTAATGTAATGTAGATGCATACTTAGGAGTTATGTTCTTGTGATATCTTCAACTGTCTCGTGGAAACTGTGGAGAAGCATCAAATTTAACTTACTGCAATTATGCTCTTTTAACCATTAAATCATTGTTTTTTATTCAATGTGTTTGGTATGAGGGGATTTTTGAGTTGCTGACGGGCACCAACTGTTCATGCTTGGGCTAGTGAGTAATTATTGATTTTTTTTTTAATGTGTAGTTCTAAACTTGCAACTTGAATGAGGTTTTTCCTTGCTACAGCAAATGACCATCTGTTCACGTGCTGGTTGCAGCTGAGTTTAACAATGGACCAATG